TGAGCTGGCTGTGAGAATTAACCAGATAACCTATGTGACTGTATCTGGACCATCATAATCACTTGAGAAAGTGTCCTCCAGTCTATGAGTTCAAGCAAAGCTCCCACTTTTCTCTTCTGCAAGTTGAAGAGTTCTTGTTTCTTTAATCATTCTTCATATTCTTACTCTGGTCTCTTCTGTGTGTTCTCAGTTTATCACTGTTGCTCTTAATATGTGAGTCTACAACTTAACACATGCTATTGGTGTGGCCTGGCCATGTAAAGCAGGGCCTACCATCATCTCCTTCAGTCTGGACTCTGCACCTCCATTAATTCAACCCAAATTTAAAATAGATTTGTTTCGTGCCCTTGTCTCACTCCTATGGTATTTATTGAGCTGAGAGTACCTAACAGTCCCAGATTTTTTCACCAATATGTTTGCAAAACCCTGTCTCCCATTCTGAACCTGTGCAATTGAAGTTTTGGACCTAAAATGAGGGGCTTTACTTTAGATGTATTCCCTTCTGTATTTTATCATGTAGGACAAGGTGCCCGCCCTGACTAGATGGGGTCAAAGAAGACCCCAAAGGTATTCTTGCATTCAAGAAATCGAAAGAAATATTTTACTGACTCTTTTGAGTCCAGGGAAGAAAATGTTTATTTGAATCTCAATGGAGTCCAGGGCTGCAGGGCTGGGACTAGTGATGGCACAGGTGATTGAGCCCAGATGCTGTGGCTTTAGTGCCCAACATCTCACCTACATCAGCTTCACAGGGGTTAGGGGGGCAGTGGCGACATAGTGGTTCCCTGCCTCAGGGAAGTGGACTGTTAGTCTGTCCTGGGATGGCTCGGTAGGACCTGAGAGCACACCAAGACAGCCCGGGGATTTGAGGGAAACCAAGAGCCCAGACATGTGACATACAGCTTTCAGGGCCCAGGGATCTCCTACTGTCTCCTGAGAGCAGCGACGTCGCAGAATCTTCTTGTTGTTCCAGGTACCACGGAGGGCTCAGTCCCAGCACTCTCCCTCTGCCTTCCATCCTGGCAGCTGGATTGCATGCCGACATTGCCCAAACGACATCTTGGCCCGGGCTAGTGCCAATGTGCAGACCACGAAGAAGGAAAAGTGCTCTCTTTATTGCTCTAGCCTGGTCTGCCATGTGTCTCCCAGGATGTTGCTCCATGCTCAGAAGATGTAGTGGCAGTCACCCTGGAGCCTGGCTTGGCTGCCTGCCTGGTACTGGCCTCAGTCGGTCCTCCTGAATCCTGGAAAGGAAAGCCCACAGGATGGCATAGGATTCTGAAGGGAGTGGGGCCTCATCCCCATCATTACCCTAGATGCCTAAATACCCCTCATAGCTGGAATAATGTAGTTCCCCCAGAAGCCACGAGTCTCCATGACCCACAGCCATTGAGTTAAAGGAGACAGAATTCCCAAGCACAGAGATACACAGCCCCCTGGCCTCTCAGTTTTGAGACATAATAGTAGGCAACAGAGCTGCTGGTTATGAAAGAGGTTCTCCTTTAGTTCATCCAGCCACTCTAGTGACCCTGGGCAAGTCACTCCACCTAAGTCTCAGTTTCATTAGACAAGCGTAAGATAAGTAAAGCCCACCCTCACCTCCAGTTGCTATTAGGGAAATAAAATCATGGAGAAGATAGTATTTGGGGAAATGTAAAGTTATACGACAGAATACCCAGATTCCCTTCACTTTTCTGCAGTGTTGCACACTTAAAGACTTCTGCATCCATTCCTCACATGGTTTTCACAATACCCTTGTATAGTAGGTGTTATTATATCCATTTTCCAGTTGAGGAATTTGGGGCTAAAAGAGGCTCCAGGGACCCACAGCTGGTAAATTGGAAGAGGCAGGACTTGAACCCAGGCCCTAACTTCAGGCCCTGTGTTCTTTCGTCATTGACCCTGATATGGAGAGAGAAAGTGACATAGGAAGAATGTAAAAGTTACCCATCAGCCTGAGCTTCTGAAACAGGGGGATGAAGCCTTGCAGGACACTGTGGATCCGGTACACTGCTCAGAGATGAAGAGAAAGGTGACTGAGCTTTGTGTCTCCTCAACGGTCTTGGGGTCAGATATCCTCCAACCCACCCTGGACCAAGGCCTACCTCACACAAACAAGGCTCTAATGGTGGAATTTCAGGCAGCAGGTTAAGCTTAGATAATAGTACTAGAGACTTATTATTAAAAACAACAGCCTCAAATAGTAATAACAGTGCCAGGAAATGGTGAATGTAGTACCCAACCCCATTAACTAACTTGTTTTTTGGTATCTGCCTAACTGTTTGTTTGCCACTTTCAACTGTTTTTGTTGCATTTTTACAGAGCTGCCTGTTTTTTCCACAAGGTTTTGCCAACAACCTCACATTGACCTTGAAAGCAGTCAGGAAGAAAACATGAGCATAAGGAAATCTTTAAAAAGTGTTTAGGTCATGACTTTCTGGCTCTTGGTGAGTATCTGTGGCCAGTCCAGCCACCACCCTACAAGAGATGGGGGTGAGGTGCTTACCCAGACCGAAATAGATGCCAACGGTCTCCAGGGAGGCAAAGGTGAGTAGGCCGACCCCAAGGGACATGAACCAGTCTGCAAGGGCAGCCAGGGAGAGAATGGTTAGCCTGCGAGTCTGGAGCCCCTCTCCCTCATTCCCTTTCCCACAGCTCCCCACTCACCTGCGTAATAGTGATAACACACCAGCAAGGCCCCGATGGCAAAGCAGAGGAGGACGAAGTGGAAAAACTCATCTGTAAAGGCAGAGGAGGTGGGGAATTTACTATTTGCTTCTTTCTCCTCCTTTTTAAATTACTAAACCTATTCCTGTCTCTGTTGAATAGCCTCTCCCTCATTCCCTTTCCCACAGCTCCCCACTCACCTGAGTAATAGTGATAACACACCAGCAAGGCCCCGATGGCAAAGCAGAGGAGGACGAAGTGGAAAAACTCATCTGTAAAGGCAGAGGAGGTGGGGAATTTACTATTTGCTTCTTTCTCCTCCTTTTTAAATTACTAAACCTATTCCTGTCTCTGTTGAAATGTAGCTTATTCAGAGTCAGTACTCCTGACCAGCCGGACTAAAACAGCACCCCAAGCCCCACCCCTTTCCAGCCTTTATCTCACTTTATTATTTTTCTAACACTTATCACCACTCGACTGGTTATATTTTCGTTTCTGTGTTTATTCTCTGTCCCTGTAACTGAAGTAGCCAGGTGCCCAATACTGTATTTGTGGAATAAATGTTAAATACAATTGTAAAAAATGCAAACGTGTCAAGTTTAATAGTTTCACATTGCCCCATTCTCTCTTCCTAATCCCATTCCTTAAAATTAAGCCGTGACTGGCAAAACCTTTCCAGGCACATACATACGACACATTTTTAAAAACAAAAGCAGGATCAATTCGTATACCTGCTTCTCTGTGATTTACTTTTCCCCTCTTGTCAATAAATTGAGGCCATCTTTCCATTTCAGAGAATATATAGATCTGTCCTGCTTTTTTTGATGGCTATATAGTGTTCCATGGTATAAAGTTACTCTAGTTTATTTAACTAGTCCCCCACTGATGAACCTATTGGTGTTAGATAGTTGTTGTTACCACCAGTGTTGCACCAAACATCACTACACACGAACCTTCATGCATTTGTGCAGGTATTACTGTGGGCTCAATGCCAAGAGGTGGAATTGCAGGCTTGGAATGTTATTAGCAGAATGTAGTTAATAGAGATAGAGGATCTGAGAGTCAGGGACCGTGCCTTGGGCAGAAATTTAGGGGCTGTCTGTGAAAGAGGCCCTCCTGCACTTTGCCTGGCACACAGGAGTCATCAGGGTAAGAACACAGAGGCCTTGTCCTAGTAAAGGGGCTGTGATTAGAGGAGACACAAACAAAGATTTCAAAAAGAAAGAAAGAAAAAGAACAAACAGAGGACAATGCAGAGAAAGTTTCCTGGAATGAGGCAGGCTCCCTGAGTGGGTGTCGAGGCTGCCGGGAATGTGTCTTAGTTCAGTCCAGGTCAGCCACTGATGTGCTGTGAAGCTTTGGACAAATGTCCCGAGCCTTCTGAGTCTCAGTGTTCACACTGAGAAATAGAAGAGAGCAACGTCTATGCCACTGAAAGGAGTGATGAGGGTCTCGGATAGGAGAGCGCTTTGTAAATGGAAGAAGGCAGTGTGATACCGCACACATACCACTGCTGTCGAGGGGCATTTCGAAGGCAAACGAATAGATAGTGAGGAGGGTATTTCTGTCCTCTGCCCAGGGAAAAAATTAGAACATTCATGGCTCTAAATTCAGTTTACCCTTTAGGAAAAAATGTACATTATGCAGAAATGGACTTAATGTTTAAGAAAGCATCAGGCTTAGGTCTCTCCGGAGTTGTGAAAACTGGGAGGCGGGGGGTGGGCGAGGTGGATTAGAGAACTCTTTCTTTCTCTCTTCTTCACCCAATTTTTCCGAAATATAAAATGAGTTCCTAACAGAGAAGTTCTCCCTGAATCTTATTTTCAGTTTTCTTGTGAATAAATATTTAGAAAATACAAGGTTTTGAGAGATTGGAGGGACATCAACAAAATGCAAGATCAAATAGAGAACCGGGTGGATAGGATAGCTTGGTCTGAAAAAGCAAGAAATCAGAAACAACCTAAACATCTGTCAAGTGGGGAATAATGAGTACGTCACAATGTACCCATACTGTGGAATTTTATGCAGCTGTTAAGATGTCGTAAAAATTCAGGAATCAACGTGACTGGGGAAGTCCAAGTGGGCTTCGTGGAAGAATGAGAGTTTGAGCTGAGCCTAAGAGAGAGTCAAGGCAGCAGGAGTTGAATAAAGGAGAAGGGCGTGTGTGGTGAGTGTGTGTGTGTGTGTGTGTGTGTGTGAGAGTGTGTGTGTGTGTGTTTATGCTACTTGTGAGGCACAGCATGAGGGAAGGAAGTGAGGCCGAGGCACAGACCCAGTATAGTGAAAAGTTGGTTCAACCATGTGAATGGAGGGGCTACTGTGAACTAGAAGTTTTGGAGGCCAAGGAGATCAGGTCAGGACAAGGACTCCAAGGTTATATACGAGCCCAGAGAGACCTAGAGGATCATTCTGGTCTGGTTTTTCTCAGATTTCAGCCATCCACGTACCACCTTTGTGGGTTTTGCCCTTTCTCAGTACCACTGCTCACCATCTTCGCAATTTCATCCTAACCCAAGGACTATCCACACTAATATTTACTTAACATTTTTCTTTAAACAGTAATGGGCTACAATTACTGCTGTTCTAGGCCACCAGCTTACTTTCTACCTGTAGAAATTTGGACCAGACAGGTCGGCGCAGCTTTGAGACACCAATTTCCTTACCATCTTTCTTTATCTTCAGTCTTCTTAACTCAGAGGCCTCCACTTCTCCTTAAGACCAAGAGAGAAATGTGTGTTTTAACTTTGGTGTGGAATAGCAGGTGGGATTTTTCTCTTCTCTGCTTCACTGAGAATGGCTCTCCTGGGTTCTTTTTCCTGGGTCAAGGCAAAGCTGTGAAAATGGGAGTGGCTGTCCCTAGGATCCTCACTGACCCCCTCCTCCCTCCACAGGCCTGACTCCGTGTTCTGTTGCGTTTCCCCTGAGCTTGGAGGTCCCTTTCCTGAATTAAGCGATACTCTGGCTGATGATGACAGCCCTGCTGAGTCTGACCCACCCTCCCAGGCAGGCTGTGGCCCCACCTCACCCCCCTGGAATCAAGGCTGCCTCCTGCCTCTGTTTGGACCTTGCTACTTACCACTTGCTGGGTCTGAGCCTCTCTTTCGGAGTCCTGGAAATTAGAAACTCAACATTAGTGCCCAGGCCAGCTTGAATTTCTAACAGCTGCCTCCACCCTGGAGGAGGCAATAGGTGACCTATGAAAATGCTCTCTGTCAAATGCACTCTGTCAAATGCCCACGGATCTTTCTATCTATCTATTGATGGTTGTAATCTCTTTGCCTCTTGCCTGGACCCTCTTTCTAATCTCCACCGGCTCCCTGCCTTATGTCTCAGCCAGCCCCACCTGCTTGCTGAACCCAGCTCAGAGCTCCATATCCCCAAGTGGACTTGTCCTGTTGTACAGCCATGAACCCTGATAGCAGCTGGTTGTCTCTGAGGAAAGACAATGCCCAGACCTCATTCAACACCAACACCAATAACCCCTCTCCCCTAACTGGACACTCACTTGATTCTCCAGAAGGTACCACTTCTCCAGGGATACCTGCACAGAAGGAAAATCAGTGATCACAGATACATTATCCTCTGGGTGGGGAGCAATTACACTGTAAAGAAGGTAGAGCTCACTCAGAGACTTTCCATTTAATCTGAGTAGGCTGAATGGTGCCTAGAGCAAGCTGGAGGTTCCTATTCCATCTAAAGAGGCAGTTGCCACCCACTAGCCGCTAAAGCTGTTGGAGGAATGCCTGCCCAGTGTTACAGGTCTTCCAATTTCCCACAGGAAGCCACAAACTTCTTGATTATAAAAAAGGTTGCCAACTCTTGTATTCCAGTGAAGCAAAGAGTTTGTGAGATATGACATTATTTTATATGTTACTATGTAATGAAAACCACTGCCAATTATCATTGTAAGTTGCCAGTGATTTAAAAATACAACCCGATTTCAGATATGTTGAAATGTGAAAAAGTATGAGTTGTAGAACTGATAAAATATATTAATAATAGTTTTTAAAAATACATCGTGAGCCAGATAAAATACATTTGCACACACATGAGCCACCAGTTTTCAACCTGTGCCCATTCATGCCTATCCAGAGTCAGGTGATAACATCTATCTCCAGCCCCATCAGGCCCTGAGCTCCCGGGAGCCATGCTGAGCTGTACATGGCAGCCCAGCACCTCACCCTGAGTGTCAAGCACCTTGTCTGGATGAGCTGAGTACTATACCTAGCTTGAACTTCAGCCTCCCCAGCAATCTGGTCTGGAGTGCCCCCACCCCACTCACCTTCTGGTTCTTGGTGCCTATTCTAGTTCCCGATGACCTCTCTCCTAGCTTGTCAACTCCTTTCTCTTAAAGGCAGGCAGAACCTCTTGTAACCATCCCCTACCATCCTGTATATTTCTTGTCCTTTAGGTCAGCCCCAAGCCATGAACATCAGAAGAGGGCACTCAGCACACAAACAATAAACATTCAGCAAGCTCAACTGCTTTTAGAGCTAATATGCAAATGGGAACACCATCTGCAAGGGACTTCAGAAGAGGGCACTCAGCACACAACAATAAACATTCAGCAAGCTCAACTGCTAATATGCAAATGGGAACACCATCTGCAAGGGACCAAAAAATAACCAGTACCAAGGGTGCAGAGAATATACCAAGAAGAGCATAAAATGAGACTCCAACAGTGTAATTTACTAAGTATCTCCAATGCCTTGGGGGCAAGGGTGGAAGCACAAAGTAATTCACAAATATGTGACAATAGCTAAATTTTCTACAGTAAATATGAATTACTTTTATGAAAAAAAAAATTTTAATATATGTAAATATCGCAGTTTCTCTCTCATTTTACACCCAATAAAACATTTCTTTCATACTCGAGCATTAAAAGCATTTTTCTAAACAAAGTAATACTTGTTTTTGTAAAAAAAAAAAAAGAAGAAAGAAAGAAAGAAAGAGAGAGAGAAAGAAAAAAAGAGAAAAAAATTCACATAAGCAAATAAAACACTTTAAAATTTACCCAAAATGCTACCACCTACAGGCAGCCACTGGTAATGTCTTGATGCAGAACATCAAAATATTTCATTTGCGTTTCTTCAAATGTATACATAGTGTTTCTGTTGTTTTTCTAGGGTTATTTTCAGGACTTAGGAGACTAAGTAGATTATAGAAATATTGGATTAAACAATGTTAAACAGGTTTTCTTATCTGGCCACGTGCATCGGTCAGGTTTTTCAGAAAATTGGTTTATTCCTACAAATTCCCTCATTTTGCCATCGTGCTACTAAGCAAAGGGCCATAATATTTAGATCTTGCTGTAATGGTAACGATGCTTGGAGACAATTATTTCATAATATGAGTTTTACAGAGATCAGATCCTTAATTTTCTCTTGCAGGTGAAAACAGCCCAGTATTCCAAGAGAGTGTGTGCTGATCATGTCCCATTTTGCTGGTTGGAAAGCTGAGGCCCAGAAAGGTTAAGTGACTGGTCAAGGTCACTCTGCAAGTCAAGGTTACAGGTCAGAAGAGAACCTAGGACAGTCTCACCGTGGTGCAAAATGCCTGTCCTTATCCCCATCTGCTGATGTAACCACTCACCTTGCCACATCTCTATATTTGCTCATGACTTTTCAGCTCATGAAAGGCACTTATGATTTCGTTTCTGCCCAACAAACTCCTAAGCCCTCATGTCCTTTGTCTAATTCTGTTTTCTCCAAAGCCACTGGACAATCAAATACCTCCATAGAGTTGAAGCTCATCCTTTGAAATGTCAGGGTCCCCATGCTCAGCACCTGGGTGGAGATAAACCCCATTAGTCGTCTCTCTCAGCTGGATTTAGGGCAGCTTCCATCTCCCACCTGCCTGAAGCCTTAAAAAGTCATATAGTTTTTGTGCTGGGGGTGAACTGGGCAGTCTTGAAGAGGCAAGACAGCCTTACAAGTGCTTTCTCTTTACTCTGTCGGACTCCCCCCAGCATACTCAGAGGTGGCCGTGTCCAGTTTACCAAGAAAGAATCATGAGCCTGAGAGACCGGGACCTCATTCAAAGTCATTAATAATAGTTGCCATTTATTGAGCACTTTCTATGTGCCAACGCTGTACAGAGTAATTTATATTTAATATTTCATTTGATCTTCATGGAAATCCTATGAAGAAGGTATTAGTACCTCTTTCTCGTTCATTTTACAGATAAGGAAACTGAAGCTCACAAAGTTCAATTATTCCCTGAAGGTCACATAATCAGTACGTGACAACTTCAGAGTTCAAACTCAGGTCTGTCACCAAAGCCTTCAATCTTAATCATTTTTTTATCTCCAGAAATAGAACCCAGAGCTCAACTCCAACTTCATGGGCAGCATTTGTTAAACACTTCATGTGTGCCAGTATCTGTACTAGGCATTAATCTCAGCTCTTTCCCCCGTATTGTTTTCTTCCCATGATCTATTTGGGCTAAAATTTATCACTGTTCTGTTTAGGTTTTGCAAAAATTTTCTTCTGATTGTAAAAGTAAATCATGCTCATTGTAAAATATTTATAGTATAGATAGTTCAAAGAAGAGAAAATCACCCATAACTTAAACTATCCACAGATAACCATTATTAACATTTGGATAGTTTTTCTTCTGGTCTTGTTTATAGCCACCTATGTGTGAATTTTTACAAAGTGTATATGAGATCAGACAAATGATACGATTCGATATCTTTCTTTTTCACTTCAGAGAGATACAAAGAACGGAGCTCTAACCAGGACAGGGTGCAGCATCACTATCTAATTTGCTGTTGTTGGACATAAGGTTGTTTCCCATTGTTGCCCTACTACAAACAATATTGAGAGGAACATCTTCACACAGACAAGACATGCTCAGTTCCATTGAGAAACTCAGTCCCATTGTGAGCCTAGTGGGCAAAGGAGAAATGGTAAGGCCTATTGCCTACCGGGTGAGCAGCCCCTGTGAGGGTATCCAGTCCCCTGGCTCTGCCGACTTTTTCTGGTTTCTCTGGGGTGCTGGTCCTCATCACTGTTCTCTGCAGGGAATAAACACAAGCTGTAGGAGAGCCTCGGCCTGAAAGAAGCCTGGAAGATGCTTATTCTGATGTTCACTCTCAGAATTTAATTTATGCGAGGAGTGTGGGGGAAAGAGGTCTGCTTTGGTGGCTGAGAAAAAGAAGATCTGCCACAAACTTTCTGTGTGAACTTGGACAAATCACTTAATATTCCTGTTGCTGCTTTCATAATGCTTTCTTCATGACAAGTTCATACAAGGTATATTACTGAGATGGCTTCTCTCCCACCAAGTGCTGGTCTGTGCCATCTCTGTATCTCCACAAAGCCAAAGTGGCTCTATGTTTGTTCCTGCTATCTCCCACAGGGAATGCTCTTCCCATTTGTCTCCTTTATCCTGAAGGTTAAGCTGATGTCACACCTCCTATAAAAAGACTTTTCCAACTGCCCCAGCTCACACTCATCTTACTCTCCTTCCTCTGCATCAACTGTCTGTTTGACACAGTGGGCATGAGGATCGGTGGTTGTGGAGCTTGTCTCTCCAATCATCCCAAGCTCCCAAAAGACAAAGCCTGGATCCTCACTCTCCCAAGGGTATCCAGCCTGGAGCAGGAGCCTGATTAAGACTTAGAGAATGATTGCATCATTTATACTTTTCGACTGGTCAGCATTCCAGGAATTCAGGACTAGAAGTTTCTAGCCCCACGTCCAGAGGACTCCGTTTCCTCAGGATGACCAGGGTGGCTCCAGCAAGACTGGTGTCCCTCCACATGTTTGGGGGCCTGCTGCCCCATGGGTAAATTTTAAAATTCCAGAAAACTGGGTTAACTATGCCTAAAAATCAGTGCATATATGATCTCGGCTAGATGCAGAGAAAGAGGTATCAGGAATTACATCAAGATATTGGTATTTATCTCAGAAGATAGGATTTGGGGTGGCTACCAATTTCTTCATTTCTGTTATTAATATCACTTCTTCATTAACATTTTACAAATATTAATTCATGCCAAAAAGAGAAGCTTATTCATTGAATTTTGCAAAATATCAAACAATACAGAAAATAACGAAAGCAAAATTTACTCCAAATTCTATCAGCCAGAGACAACCTGTATCAATATACAAATGAACATTGTTTTAGTCTCTATATTTTCATAATACATAATTTTTAATGAAAGGTATTATATAGAATTATATGCTGTGTAAAATAAGGACAATTTTTGTATGTACTCTCTAATTTAACTATTTAAAAAGTTAACCCTGGCAGAAGGAGTCACAGTTTGTTGCTAATACCCCCGGTATCCATTACAGAGCTTGGTACTCAGCAAATATTTATTGAATAAATTTAAGGAAAGATAAAATATGTGTTTAGTGGTTATCTCTGAGTGACGAAGCAAAGGATGATTTTTTTTCTTCTTTCTACTTCTTGATATGTTCCGCATTTTCTACAACATGCCTATGCATAATCTTTCACAATAAAAAAAGTTTTAATTAAAAAATAACAAGATACATTAAGAACAAAAAAATACAGGGAGAGCAGCGCCGCATGCCAAACTGTGAGTTAGGGTCCTGCGTGTAGAGGAAGAAGGCTGGGGGCTGCAGTGAGGCACCCAGGCTTGGGGCCTTGAGGCCACTGTCTGAGCCTGAAGAATGGGCACGGTCTGAGTTCCAGCAACAGGCTAGCCATTGTGGATCAGACACTCGGATCCTGAATATCAGTCTGTCTCTGTGTGTCTGTGTTTATTTTCCTATTGCTATCTCTTAGAGTTCAGGCCCACTGAATACAGCCAGTCCCATGTGTGCTGTGGAGACAGCGGGGAAGCAGCTTATGGGGGAGACATTTGTGGGAGAACAGCGCCCTCTAAGGGTCATCCAGACTCAGAAGGCAGGTTGGCCCCTCCCACCAGGGTCCCCCTGCAAGAGTTCCACTGTACCTGGAAGCCCTTCTTCCAGAGCTAAACTTCATAGAGGGTGGGTTTGTATACTTTTTAATAAGGACAGTGGCTTCCTTTCCAGTTTCCTGAGGAGAATGGCTACACACAAAGCCACTGGACCCGCTAACTACTCTCCCTCCTCTGTCTGCTGAAATAAGCGTGGATGTTGTGGCTTTGAGCCCCAGCCTCATCGTTTGAAACATAAGAACATGAGGTCAGAGTGCCAGGGCTTTGCAAGTATTTTTTTAAATTTAGCTTGAGATTGCTTTCATCAAATAAAATCCCAGGCCCAGGCCTACTATGTTATATGTTCATAGTTCAGGCGGTCTGGTTGAGGAGGAGTAGACCAGAGCCAACTCTTAGGTTTCCCCGTCCCAGGAAGAGCTCAGGGGACTCTGGAAGGGACTGTGGAAAAACAGAATTGAAGTAATCAGGATGGGAGACTATGGGGCATGGTTGTTCCACATAAATGCTTTTCTTGAATAATATTATAAGAATATACACACATGTATATTTAATCTTTGCTATACCTGAGGTAGAGGAGGAGGAGGAAGAGGAGGAGGATGAGGATGAGGATGAAGAGGAGGAGGAGGTAGAGGAGAAAGGCTTGTCTCTCTCATTTCGTTCTTGAGAAAAGACTCCGGCCTCCCCGTCTTGCTTGTGGAAATCTGTCTCTGCATCTGGGGGGCACATGCATGTAAGGATGAGTGTTTCCCGCCCTTCTCACCCCAGAAACCACCAAGGCCTCCCTAGGAGTCTACCTGGACTTGGGGAGCCAGCAGGAGCTGGTTTCTCCGCAATACTCTTCCCAAACCCTTAGGGCCGATGGAAGGTTCATTCGACCAGGGCTCTCAGAGGCCCTAGGGGCTCCAGGAAGGCCCAGGGCAGACATTTCTCTGAATATGGAGCCCAGAGAGAAGCTTCTAAGGGTGCTGTCCTGTCCAGAGACCACTGGACTGTGTAAGCAGTTGCCAACTTAGGATTCTCTGTAAATTACAGGGCGGGCGGGATCTGATCAAGCCCTGAACCTTCCTATCCCCCATCCTGGAGCATGCAGGACCCTCCTCACCTTTTAAGGACTCCCCCTAGTGTCAGTCCAAGCCCCCAGAGCCTCCTGGAGATGTGGGTAGCAACTGAGGGTCCCCACAACTGGAAAGCACTGGGGGGACAGACTGGACCAAGCACATATGTATGTGCACATGTGTGTAAAATCACTACTTCTCTAGAGGTTCCAACTGTGACTTGAACCTCAGCAGGGCCTTCTATTCTACCCACTGCTGGACTCCACCTCCTATGTAGCTTTTCCCAGAGGGTCAGAAAAGGCAAACATACGGTCAAGATCATCTGTTTCTTTGTGAACTCGACTGTGGTCTTGAGTCTGGGAGGAGAATCCCGAAGTCTCCATGGCTTTCCCTAGAGGAATACAATATTAAATAATTGGTATTACCTTAGTTAATAACGTTAACATATAAAGAGCTCGGCAAATAAATAAGAAAGGGGAAAACACTTCAATTAAAAAGGTATAAGAAGAACAATTTACAAAAAAAAAAAGAAATACAAAATTAGGGAAATTTGAATAATGATCATCTTTTGACAATATTAATAAGTTGTTTATTTTAACAAATAGACTTTAGTTTTAGAGCAGTTTTCGGTTCTCAGCAAACTGAGTGGAAGGTACATAGATTTTTCTATATACATCTTAAATCCAAACATGTGTAGCTTCCCCCATTATGAACATCTCCGCCGGAGTATTTATGTTTTTCAGGTGTGATAGTTATCTTGAGGTTATATTTATTTAAAGTATCTTTAAATTTAGATATAATTACTGAAATATTTATGATAAAATTATATGATGTCTGGGACTTGCTTCGAAATAATTTTGTTGGGGAGTCAGAGGGCACAGGTGGGGGTCCAGATAAACAGATATGACATCAGTTAATAGTTGTTGGAGCTACATCAAAATATAAAGAGTGGTTTTCTCTGGGTGGTGGTATTATGAGTATTTTTAGTCTTATTTGTACTTTGCATTTACTAAATTTTAACAGTATTGTTTTTGTTATAATAAAATAATTAATGTTTTTAATTACTTAAAAATGCCACTTTATATCAGTATAGTACTTAATGGTTTTACAAAGGGCTATGTGTCTATAATTCCATCTGAGCCTCATCATAAACTAGTCAGGTAGGAAATGGGATTGATTGCTCCTCGCATTTGAATTGTAGTTTTTAAACAACAAAACTTTCCAAAAGATTGTCTCATTTGAGACTTAAAATAACCCTGCAAAGTAAATTGCATTATCCCCATTTTACAGGGGAGGAAACTGAGGCCCAAAGAGATGAAGTGACTTGCACAAGTTAGGACTCCTGACCCATATTCTATTTAATGCACCTCAAAATGTTGGTTAGGGTCACGAAACTGCTCAAGGGCCACCATGGAGTCGAGCCTCCCAGGAAGGGAATGCAGACCGTCTCCTACGGACAAAGATCACTTCCACTTGAGAATCACTGGTCTAGACAATCTACTCTTTTTAAGCTTTAATTTTATTTAAAAAAAATTTTTGACACACGGAAGAATAGGCAATATGATTGAAGAAAGATGCTACCCTGGTGGGTTTGAAGATGGAGGAAAAGGCCAGGAGCCAAAGAATGCAAGGAGTGCAGCTCTAGAAGATAGAGAAGGCCTGGAAACATTCTCTTCTAAACCCACTGGAGGGAGCTCAGCCCCAATTTCAGATTTTGATTCTTAGAACTGTAAGATAATAAATTGTGTGTGTGTGTGTGTTAAAAAATTAGAATTGGCATATAACATTATATTAGTTTCAGATATGTAACATAGTGATTCAATATTTGTATACATTGCAAAAAGATCATCGCAATAAGTCTATTTAAAATCCGTCACCACATGTAATTACAAAATACTTTTTTCTTGTGATGAGAACTTTTAAGATCTACTTACTCTCTTAGCAACTTTCAAATATACAATACAGTATTACTCACGATAGTCATCATGCTGTACATTATATCTCCAGAATTTATTTATTTTGTAACTGGAAGTTCATACCTTTTAACTGCTTCATCTATTTTGCCCATCCCCATCCTACTCCTGACAACCACCTATCTGTTCTCTGTATCAATGAGTTCGAGTTGTTTTTGTTTTTGTTTTACTGGAGAATCTACTCTTCATCCATCACAAGACCTTGGCAAGGCAATATCTTTTCCTGTGTCTCAGAGCCAGACCAGCTGGGTTTGAATCCTGACACTTCCAGCTGTGGCACCTGGGTATGTTCTTGAACCTCTTGCTATGACTCAGGTTCCTCTTCTGTAAAATGGGGACAATAATCGTATTGTTGTGAAAATGGAATGAGTTGAAATACGTGAAGCACTTAGAGCAATGCCTGGTACAGAGTAAATATTGAATAAATGCTGTCTGAGATGATGACCATTATTATGACAAGGGAGAAACAAGACCATGTTTGTGTAGTGAGATGAACATGTGTTTTGGGGTCAGACTGATCCCACTTCTGTCATCCGAGCCAGGGATAACCTTGGGCAGGGCAGTCCCCTTCTTTAAGCTCTAATTACCTCAGTTGTGAACAGCGATGGCAGAGCATTAGCGAGGAAAGATAGCCAGTGTCTGCACTAAAGGAGCTCAGAATACATGAGTTCCCTCTTCTACAGGCCTCCTGTTACCCTCAGACACTTGGTGTCCAGCCCCAGCCCTGCCCATCCATGTCTCCTAAGCCTCAGGCTCTATTACTCCCTTTCTAGAATAAAAATTCCCATTTTTCAGGGCAGACTTCAGCAAAGCATTAGGAAGTTACTAGCCAATAAAACGAATTAATATTCAGGTATGAATGAATGATAACCATAAGCCTCTAGGGCAAACCTATATTTTGAAAAGAACTTTTTGTACATGGCATATATCCAATACATGTTTATTGGCTGAGATCATCTCTAATGGTGGAATTTCAGGTGAAGTGAAGGAAGAGATTTAGAGACATATGGGGGAAAGAGAGCTTCTGGCTGGTGCCAAATACACCAAAAGTTCACCAAGCTGGTCCTATCTCTTTCCTGCTCTAGCTGTCTCGGCCACTTGGCAGTCCCTGGTCACATACAGCATTTTCAGCATTTTCCTATTGTCAAAATTGTATTTGACCCTCCAGGCATAGCTCAAAATACCACCTCCTTCATGAAGCCCTATGCTGATTGCTTAACCAGTACCCTTCCTCCTGAACCCCACTCCATTAATCCTCCTCCCCGTACCACCCTTGGACTTCTTCCTTGCTAGCAGAACTGTAATTTTGTTTTTCCAGCTCTAGTTAGATACTCGTTTTTCTGGCCTTTCTTATAGCTGGAGGTGGCCATGTGACCCAGTTTTGGCTAATGAAAAGTCAGCTGCGATTCAGGAAAGGTTTCACTTCTCCTAACAAATGAAGCCAACAGGGCTGATGCTGTGACTTGCCTCTCCTTCCTTCCTCCAACATGCATGTGATGGCAGGAGCTACAGTAGCCATCTTGTGACCTTGAGGAAAAACCAAAGCAAATGCAGGGATGTTGTTTGAGCTGCTGAGCTCTTGCCAACAACTGCCTGCTTTCTTGTTATTTGGGAAAAATAGATGTTGTTTGAGCTGCTGAGTTGTTTGAGCTCAACAACTGCCTGCTTTCTTGTTATTTGGGAAAAATAAATCGCTTTTTGTTTAAGCCTCTATAGTCAGGATTTTTAACATTTGTAGCTAGCTAAACACAATTCCAACTGATACATAGTTCCTCTTACATTCCTACATTAATTGAGCACCTACTGTATGCTAGCACTAGGGATACTGTGGTAGGTAAGTCTTCAAGAAATTTCAAGGTAGACCAGGGGACTGTGGGAGCCCCGGGGCTAAATCAGACCCGGGTCAGTCAGGGAAAGTTCCTGAAGGAGGGTATGCTGGGGTGAGTTTGAAAGGACCAAAGAGAGCAATGTGCAAAGGCACAGAAACAAGGGACCCTGGCCCACATGGGAAACAGTTGTCAGGAAATAGCTGTAAAGAAAAATGGGATTTGGGGGAGACCCTAAGAACACCCCCACCCTGTCTTCAGCACATAGTTCTCCTGAGCCTTAGTCAACTCTGCCTTGTACCAGGCTCTTCTTTAAGGTAGGCACCTCGTTGCATAACTCTAGGGCCATCATCCCTATTCACCTTCTCAGCACTCAACGGAGAGTCTGACATACCCATGGCGTGTCTCCACTAGATCATGAACCGAGCCAGGGTTAGGGACTGAAGTTGATTCATCTGTGTGCCACCAGAACCCTGCACAGGGCCTGGCAGAAAGCAAAAATGAGGACGATGACAATAACAAACAAGTGCTTACTCTCTGCCAGGCAATCATCTAAGCATGTTACACGTGTCAACTCATGTATTCCTTACCACAGCCTTATGAGGGTGCACTATGGTTGTACCCATTTTATAGGTAAGAACATCGAGGCACAGAAAGACTAAGAAACTTGTCTAGGGCCACATAGCTAGTAAATGCTTGAGCAAGGATAGTTGCTTAGTCTACACTGGAGGACGAAAGGAGTGATGCTGACATCTCTTCCCAGGCCCCTATCATTTGTACCAGGAAAGAAGCCACTAAACGGTCATGGCAATGTTATGCAAATGATGCTGATTTGACTTAGGAGCCCTGAGCAAGTGTCCTCACAGCTAAGGGCACTTCCTCAGGCAGTTCTTCAGCGCACTGATCCATCAGGAGAGGGGGAATGGTAAACCTGAGGTAGCCCTGTTTCACCTTTCAGTGTCCTTGCCCCATCCCTCCTCCACCCATATTTCTGCTATGAGAAAGGATAAATAGAATTTTTAAAATTAAAACTCAAGGATCAGTGTGCAAGGCAATGCTTAATACAAAGGACAGAGCATCAGTGGTGGAACAGCAGGCACCACCGGCAGTGAGATGGCTGGGAGCAGTTTCTACAAGCTCTAGTTTAATACATGTGACTTTGAGCCAGGATGGACCGTGGGGAGTTGACAGGAGAAGTGAAGAAAGAAGAAAGCAAGAAGATGAGAAGGAAACGGCACATTCCCTCCAATCTTATTTTATTCATACAAGTCTTATTTTATGCAGGAAAAAAACTGAGGTTCAGAAAGACAAAGTGACTTGTCCAAGGTCTCTCAACTTGCAGATGGACTCAAATCTGACCCGTCCCAATAGAGAACCCCATTCCCCGGCCCTGGTTAGAGGCCTCTAGGGCCCCTCTCTCAGGTGGCCGCACATCTGAGGCTGATCCTACAAGGAAATCGAATGTCTGACTTCCTGGCACTTTTCTCCAAAAGCCCAGCCCTGCTGAGTCACTGGTGGTTCCAGGTCCTCTGCACCCACAAATCTGGCTAAACTGGATTTCCGTTCAGCCCAGATTTCTTAAGCTCCTGCTG